CTTGATCTCAACTTTGGCCTTTTTCTCCTCCTTGGCCTTTGCCTTCGGCTTGCCCTCCTTGCCTTCCTTCGCATCTGCCTGAACAAGATTGAATGCCCTATTTACCAAATTTCATGAGTATCACAGTATCAGTTTCAACTTAAAACTGCATTGGGCTGGATTTTTTGAGATTTGGAGAACTCATCAAATGGTTGCAGGGGACTGTTCAGTTCAACCAGGTGAATTTGTCAACACACTGTAGCACACTCAGGGTGTTGTTTATCCAGAAGCACAATACTGCATGGGTGAAACTATCAGCCCTGTACACAAAAACTTTTTGTAAAATCTATCCAGTGCCAACTGTCAGATATGTTTCTGGCATCTGATGGCATCTGCTCACCTTCGCGGCAGCTTTCTTATCCTGGACCTTCTTCTCGGTCGCGGCCTCCACATCGACCTGCCCAGCTGACAGCTGCAATATCTCCAGGCAAAACTGAGCGAATCAAGTGCGATGAATGCCTTCTTCACTTCCAACTGGCTGAAGAGCAAAGAGGTGGCTTTCACCTCTCAAGCCGGATGCAAAACCACAAGCCCCCCCCGAGCTTGTGCAAGAGACTCATGGTATGTATCCCTGCTGATAGCCATCCTACCTATGCGAACCCACCCCCAGTTTTTCGATAGCAGGGATGCACAGCTTTTACAGGCACTTCTCAAGATGGAATACATGAAAATCCAGAATTGGCGCATTTGGCGGTGTCTGCTTGCTGCTCTCCAGCACGCCTCCTTACCCTCTGTCAAGTTCTGGAAGTCGTCCGACAAGTCTGGGATGGGCCTATGCGATGCCAGAATCTGGAGCCCCCTAGTGACATGTCAACCATTTCAACCTCTACCGACTCCAACCAACTTGTTGGCTTTGGACCGACCTGAGACAGGGGTCCGCAAGTCCTAGGGATTCATAGGGTCAATCTCAACTTTTGACAGCCGGTTCTTCTAATTCAGTAGCCCAACGTCATGGTTCGCTTCGTGCCCCAGCCTTGCAGCTTCTCCCAGCTTTGCAAAGATGGCCTGGCATTCGGATCTGGTGACGATTGAAACCCGGCCGGACTCAGCGAAAGGACTCGCTTCCAAATACAACGAGTCACATTGCGTGTGTTTCGCAGATTCCAGTGCCATTGAAGTCATGTTTCGGAAACCACTTGCACTAAAGGATAGATGTTGCAGGGGGAAGTCTGGAATAGATGCCCGCACCACACACAACTGCGTCCAATTTTGCGTGCACAAGTGACGCCATGTCCCCAAACTGATCCGAGAAAACACAGGCTGTTCTTGGACTCAATCTCCCACCCTGAGATACCTCTGCTGCAGTGGGAATGAAGGGAGCGAAGAAGTGCGCCAAGACATATACGGCCTGTCGCAATCGGTGGCAGGTGGAAGGTGGGATCGAGGTAGGTTTGCAGTTGTGAAGAACATTTGACTGCGGCACTTTTCTAAAGATCCCGAAAATTATACCAGAAACGGACAAAATACATAGATCAATGAATGGGATGTGATGTGAACTAGATTCAACAGAGTACGGTGTGAATTATGTCCACGGCAGCATGCTGTCCTCCAGAAGTTTGCGCAGGCATGCAGCTCGAAGTTCCTGCTTCTCTGCATCCTGGCTTCCGAGAATCCTGTTGGTTTCCCCACAGTTTGGCCAGTGACGTTTGGCATTCAAGGACTTCAACCGTGACATTGGTGGAACCACTTTCTATTGGCCCAAGATATTAATACGTATGTTGTATACTGTGTGACTGTGTAAACCATGTGCGTGTATATATATATATGTATTATGTATATATATATATATTATGTGTGTATATATATATTAATATATATATATATAATGTGTATATATATATATTATGTATATATCTTCTGTGGTCAAAACTTGCATCAAGATTCTAAGAAATGCCATATCTACTGTTGGAGTTCCACATGCCATGGTCGAGACACCAAAAAAAGATTTGAGACAGGTGGATGATCTTCAAACCCAAGAACAGTAGGCTTTCCTGCACTAGGCATTCCTGGGAGGACCGGTACGAAGCCGCCACTGTCCCATGTTTCGGCTGGCCTTCATCTTCCAGGGCTCAAGGTCTGCAATCCACTGAGGCAGGTAGAGAACGGAGGGAACCCGTTTTGGGTTTTGATGGGTTTGGGCAGTTGAAATATGTTGAAATGCGTCAAAAACGTTGAAAGACTCACTTTAGGATGAAAACATTGCCATACGACAGAAAACATGCTGGCGACAACCGTTTGAGAGTTCTTAAAAAGGTTTCACCAACGCAAACCTTTCTGCAGCAGTCTGACCTGACCTGTAGTAGCATGTAGCATCCATCAACATTGTCCTGCCTTGTTGGTCTGTCCAGCAGCCCTCACTGTGAGGTCTGCAGCATCCGAAAGCCGGTAGGATTCAAAGGCCTAAAGTTGCGATACTGACATCATGATCACAAATCACAATGATAAAACTCCATCAAGCTGACATTCTCAAGCTACAAAGTATGGTGTGGACTCAGTCAGATTGTCAAGGCGGCCACATCTCTGACCCCAGTCTTCAACTCTTTGAGGTTAAAGGGATGAGACACCAAGTCCTTCTTCCCAGCTTTTGGTACCTGTCAGCGTCTGCTCGGCTGCCACTCTACGGTGCCCAACTCCAAACCAGCTGGCCGCACTGATCCACCGCAGAGGGAAACAGCACGATTCACCAAGTTCCCCAGGTTGTCACCTAGGCAAGGTGCGGCTTGCTAAGCAAATGACGCAACTCGCCTAGTGGGCGCTGGAGTTGTATACTAGCTACCTTATCATTTTCATCAAGCAGTCAGCCATGACTTGTGACTCAAAAGTTTGTGCTTGCAAATGGTGCAAAGAAACAAAATCTACGACAAGTACCAACATAACATTACTATCTGTTAAGTCCCTCCTTCAGTATTCAGTCAAGGAGCAAAGCTCTGCATTGTGCATCAAGCGGAGAGAATCCTGGGGCCGTCGGGTCCCCAATTTTGATGGATCACTAACATGCAAGTAGCATATGCAGCATGCAGTAAAGAAATGCAAAGAAAGGTGTCCAAAAGTTTTCCAAACAGAAGTTTGATGTAGTTTGATGTAGCTTGATCTTGCCCAGCTCCAGACCTCGCTGAATCTCACATCGTCGCCAAAGGTAGCCTCCAACAACTGGTAGACGTCACCCCCACATGTCGTTGCACAAAGCACCCGTTGTGATATGTTGTGATCATATTGAGGTTTCCTTGCTATAGCTTGTATAAACATGAAAGGTCACCAAAGCAAGGGAAAGCAGCACGTATCAAATCTATGCGGCTACGGAAAATCCTCAGACATGCGGCCTCACGGCAAAGATACCAGCGCAAGGTATCACAGGGGAATTTGTCTAGCCTGGCAGAGACACGGTCAAGTGCAACAACGCGATGCAAAATGGCCAGCTCAAGGCATGAGAGGGTCATATATAGCGTCAAAACAGGATGACGGGATGCACACGCTCCGACATCAACTACTGTATACTGTAACCATCTGAGTCCCCATCTGTGAATCCCTGTGTCATACCTCAAGTACGTATCTGAGGTTGTGGCATGTCGTGAGGGTCAACGACGTTGCCCAAACTCTTGCTCCTTGGTGAACCAAGATGGCAAGACCCCATCTACCTGTATCCCAAATCTGCATCAACCTAGCACAACGTGTAAGATTCTCAAAAACATCATGAATTCCACATAGTCTGAGGCACCTTGTAGCATCATGGGGTACAGCAAACGCTTTCCGCCTTCATGCTGTGATCGAACAACTGAATCACTGGAGGCTCTGACATTTTCCGGCCATCTGCTCCCGCGATGAATCCATGGACGACAACGCTCTTGGGCAATGCCATTCCTGCCGGATTCAGCATCAAGCCATATCAAGCGTACCCCCTACCCTGCAAATGCAGTGGATGCAAGCTACTATTTGACATCTCGAATCGAAAATGATTAAAAAGTGCTGTGTGTCTGAGAAAATAAGCTTCGGTGGTATCCCCAACAGCCGGAACGTTTTATTTTTACAAATCTTTTTGGAGCGTGCTGGGAAGCCAAGCGCTGGAAACACCTCAGCTGGGTTTCCGTGAGTTAAATGAACCTGACCTGGCTTGGCTTCTGCAACCTTCTCGGAACCCGTTGGACCTGACTTGGCTTTGCACCAAGGCTTCCCGGAACCTTGCACCAAAGCCTCCCATTCTCCGGAACCTTCTCTGGAACCCTGTTGACCTTGACCTGGCTCTGCACCAAAGCCTCCCATTCTCCGGGAACCTTCTCCGGAACCCTGTTGAACCTGACCTGGCTCTGCACATCTCTGCGCCAAAGCCTCCCGGAACCTTCTCCGGAACCTTCTCGGAACCCTGTTGAACCTGACCTGGCTCTGCACCAAAGCCTCCCAGACCTTCTCTGGAACCTTCTTCGGAACCCTGTTGAACCTGACTTGGCTCTGCACCAAAGCCTCCCATTCTCCGGGAACCTTCTCCGGAACCCTGTTGAACCTGACCTGGCTCTGCACATCTCTGCGCCAAAGCCTCCCGGAACCTTCTCCGGAACCTTCTCGGAACCCTGTTGAACCTGACCTGGCTCTGCACCAAAGCCTCCCAGACCTTCTCTGGAACCTTCTTCGGAACCCTGTTGAACCTGACTTGGCTCTGCACCAAAGCCTCCCTTCTCCGGAACCTTCTCCGGAACCTTCTTCGGAACCCTGTTGAACCTGACCTGGCTCTGCACCAAAGCGAACCTTCTCTGAAACCGCGTTGAACCTGACCCGGCGCCTGCACCAGTGCACACCGGAGCTATTCTGGGCTGAAGACCCCATTAGCTTACTTTCGCTGTTGGGGAAAAAACAAAATAAAACTTGTACAAGTTGTGCCAATGTCACATACCCAGACAGCTCTCTCGGATCTTTGGTGGATGTTTGATGCTTTGTCCTGCACTCATCAGCATGGCCGGCCAAATCACGGCATGAAACCAGTGAATGTCCTGTGAGCAGGTGAAGCGGCATCAGCGAGGTTAGAACACCGGGATGACGAAATCAGTCAAGGACAAGGTCCACATCAAAAGAATGCCTGAATGGTCAAGAGACCTGGCTTAAAATTTAAAACGGGACCCACTTTGCAAAATTCCAAAGATCATGGATGTGCAGATATGCCATGGTGTTGCGTCACTCTGCGTGAAAGCTCCCGACCCGCGACAGACCACAAGGCCAAAGCCGGGAGGAGAGCAACAGTCGCGTTTTCACCATTCTTTCTGATACTTTCACTTGTTGCAAGGGTTGCAGGGTGTGTTTTCCATCCACATGTGCATTCAAATGAAGTGAATCATTGATTCTCCTTGCCCACGATGTGCATGTTGGCTGGCCAAAATCTGCTGAGAGGTTTTGAAGCATCAGTGCCGTCCTGCAAGGTGCTCCGTTTGCCGGATCATGAATTAAGACTAGGCACAACATGTCGCACATTTCCAACATGAACCCAGCACATACACCATAACACCAATGTTGATGCACCCCGTCGATTTGATTTTGCAACCTGTGCAGGTTTTCATCTGAGGAGGGCACAACGCCACTCATGTAGTTGATCAGGGCATCAAACCACACGTACATGACCTGCCATGAATTCAATGGAGACGAAAGCACGCATCGTTACCACAGGCTTGATAGGCAGCACCATCCACCCACACTTCCCAATGGCCAAAGGCATCCGAAGGATATGGATGAGGACGATGAGGATCATGAAATCAACAGTTTGCTGTGTCCAAAACGCCAGGAAGACGTGCTGCTTGCCGTCGACCAGCTCTTCCGGGCAAGACACCTCAAAGAGCCCCCACAGCTCAGCCATTGGAGTTTCGCTTTGATACCATGTTCCCAGGCAACATCATCACACATCATCACACCTAAATCACCTTCTAGGTATTTGCAATACATTGTACAGCTCCTTGACCACTGAAATAAAAATCAGAAAATTTTAAGGTTAAATGGAGAATGTCCTCTCAATGTTTTGGTGCATCCTCTTCATCAATCCCGTCAACATCATTTAATCATATCCATCCTCAATGCCACCGCAAGCGAAGCTGGTCAACTTGACACCTGGGCCCCCAACTCCCCAATCAAAGGTACCGCGACTGATGGACAAGTCCCGCAACTGGCCAAGTTCATCCAAGTTCCAGATGCATTTTGAGTTGTGAACAAGCAGTTGCTAATCAAAATAATCCAACATCGTCCAAAGTTCGCCAAAATGAACATGGATGCAGTAGATGGACTAGGCTTCATTCATGCTTTCAGTTCCACACCTTTTCCATGAGGGCCAGCGACGAAAAGATCGGACCCGAAAATTTGGGTTGGGCAAAAGGGAGAGAGGACACAGGAGATGCTCTGTACATTCTGCTGGATCTTATGGTTCAATTTGATTCAATCTCTTGTCCTCCAGATTCCCAATGTCCAACCCATGAGATGAAGACTGCACTCACGAGGCAACTGCCTCTGGTGCCTTAGCTGCGGTTTGTCAATTTTGTTGGGAATAAGTCGTGCGACCACCTTTTTCTGGAATTTGGGGATGCAATGGCTCCTATGCGAACTCATGCTAACTCATGGAATGAATTCCAGGTATACTCTCAGCATGTGAAGCAGCCTTTAAAAACCACGACGCTTAGTAGACTTGGCTTCTTGTGCCCGTTTTTGGATGAAACTTTGGAAGATATGCAACGAACTGTCTCAATGTCAGCAGCCAAGGTGCACAACCAAAATGTGATCGCAGCACTTCAGCTGCCTTGAAAGCACTGTAGACACAACCTGAAGCAAGCGTGGCAAGCGGCATGACCACATGGAAAGGCTGAAGCACTGCATTTGGGATGCAAGTGCTGCTTCTCAACATCCGCTCTTAGAATCCAAAACGCAATCTTGGTGAAGCCCAGGTACCCTCGAAATTGCTCGCGGGCGCAACTGCATCACCACCTCGCAAGTGATGTACATGCTGGCTCATTGTTTTCTTCTCATGCAAACTTGACAATTTTTCTAGTCCGTGTGGATATGCTGGCTTGGATCAGTCCTCATGAACAGCATTACTTGGGACTTTCATGCCCAATTGTGTTGGTGACACATAATCCTGTAAGGAGCAAAAACGCGTTGTGTGCTACCAGGTCACACAGGAGCCCCAAACCTCCAGCACCGCGAAAGAGCTCGACACACCCACTCTGTGGAGAGCCAGTCTGGACAGCGATCCAGCTGCATGGGACCCCATAGCAGCAGTGACCCAAGAATGTCCCAGGGGCATGACCAGTACACTGGTACACTAGTATATTTTGTGTTGGTGCTGCTCATGATTTGCAATAGGAATGGTATAACGTCAGTCGGTCGTGGAGAGTTCGTTAAAGCTTTCGTTGAAGATTTCGTGGCAATCCTTGTGGCAATCCATTTTGCCATACCTTTTGCCACAAAAAATGATCGTGAGAATTTCGTTGAAATTTCGTCAAAGATTTCGTTGCTTCAACTCAAGTTTGACGAAATTTCAACGAAGTTTTGGACGAAATTTCGACGATTTTTTTTTGTGGCAAAATGTTGTGGCAAAACGTTTTGCCACAAGGAAAATTTCGTCAAAACGCGAGAGGGGACGAAATTTTGCCTTGTGGCAAAACGTTTTGCCACAACATTTTGCCACAAAAAAAATCGTTGAAATTTCGTTAAAGATTTCGTTGCTTCAATTCAAGTTCTGACGAAATCCTAACAAAATTCTGACGAAAGAATTTGTGGCAAAATCTTGTGACAAAACGTTTTGCCACAAAGCACCCGACGAAAAGTCTGACGAAATTCTGGCGACATGAAAACGAAAGAAACAACAAAGAAAATCCTTATACCAGAACATATTGCAAGTGGTAGGAAATCATGGTGGAGTTCGATATCAGTATATCATTGCATATCCATAATCCCATCACAGGAACATGAGTTGAAGATGGCCACTTCCATAAAGAAAAGTTGACAATCAAGAATGAATCAAGATCTCGAGTGTGAAACTGCTGTTGGTATACTTTCCTTGCCAAAACTTATAATCAGAAGGCATTGAAACAATAAGCTTCGGTGGTATCCCCAACAGCCCCAACGTTTTATTTTTACAAATCTTTCTGAAGCGTGCTGCGAAGCCAAGCGCTAGAAACACCTCAGCTTGGTTTCCATGTGTTAAATGCCCGCAAATCCTGTTGAACCTGACCTGGCTCTGCACCAAAGCCTCCCAAACCTTTTTCGGAACCTTCTCCGGAACCCTGTTGAACATGACCTCCCTCTGCACCAAAGCCTCCTAGAACCTTCTCCGGAACCTTCTCCGAAACCTTCTCAGGAACCTTCTCCAGACCCCTGCTGAACCTAACCTGGCTCTGCACCAAAGCCTCCCACACCTTCTCCGAAACCTTCTCCGGCCTTCTCCGGAACCTTCTTCGGAACCCTGTTGAACCTGACCTGGCTTGGCACCAAAGCCTCCCAAACCTTCTCCGCAACTTTCTCCAGAACCCTGTTGAACGTGACCTGGCTTTGCACCAAAGCCTCCCACACCTTCTCCGAAACCTTCTCCGGCCTTCTCCGGAACTTTCTTCGGAACCCTGTTGAACCTGACCTGGCTCTGCACCAAAGCCTCCCAGACCTCCACCGGAACTGAACCTGACCTGGCCATGCTCCGAAGCCTCCTTCTCCGGAACCTTCTCCGGAACCCTGTGGAACCTGACTTGGCTCTGCACAAAAGCCTCCCTTCTCCGGAACCTTTTCCGGAACCTTGTTGAGCCTGACCTGGCTCTGCACCAAAGCCTCCCAGACCTTCTCCGGAACCTTCTCCAGAGCCCTGCTGACCTGGCTTTGCACCAAAGCCTCCCTTCTCCGGAACCTTCTCCAGAACGCTGTTGAACCTAACCTGGCTCTGCACCCTCCCAGACCTTCTCCGGAACCTTCTCCGGAACCCTGTTGAACCTGACCTGGCTCTGCACCAAAGCCTCCCAGACCTCCACCGGAACTGAACCTGCTCCGAAGCCTCCTTCTCCGGAACCTTCTCCGGAACCCTGTTGAACCTGACTTGGCTCTGCACCAAAGCCTCCCTTCTCCGGAACCTTTTCCGGAACCTTGTTGAGCCTGACCTGGCTCTGCACCAAAGCCTCCCAGACCTTCCCCGGAACCTTCTCCGGAACCTTCTCCGGAACCCTGTTGAACGTGACCTGGCTCTGCACCAAAGCCTCCGAACCTTCGGAACCTTCTCCGGAATATCGTTGAACCTGACCCGGCGCCTGCACCAGTGCACACTGGAGCTACTCTGGGCTGAAGACCCCGTTAGCTTACGCTGTTGGGGAAAAACATCAAAAAACAATGCCAAAAGGCCCAAAAACAAGGGAAGTTCAACCCATAGGTACCTCGGTCATGGGCCACACCCAGCTGGGACTGGGCTTCTGCCCACCATAGCCTCGCAGCAGCGAGGTGCCCAAACTAGGTGCAACACACAGCTCCAAACAATAGCTACGGATGGCTACGTAGCGGCTACGTAGCGGCTACGGTGTTAGTGTCACATCCCCAAAATGACACAGCTTGGCAGCCACTTGGCATCACCAAACAGCAGACATCAGGAATCCGCCGGCCTGCCGGCCTGTGTGATTGGAAGGTGTTGTACTTGTTTCTGTTCATGGCTTGTACTTGTTCCTTTGTTCTCTTGCTGCGCGTTTTTGCTTCGTATGAATCAAGGTCACCCCCCCTCCAAGTACTACTAATACTAGTACTAGTAGTAGTAGTAGTAATAATACAGTTTTTTCCCAAGTGCTACACTGGTAGTGCCGGTAGCTAATGACACTGCCTACAGCATTACCGTCGTCTACAGGTACTTGTCACAGGACGCACACTGTACTGATCGACCAGTACTCATTTGGTATGCGTTCCATTGGTTGTTCAACGACGCACTTGCTACTCAAGCTGCTTCTGATCTACGGCTCTGTCTTCGTCTCTTCTTCTCTCAGGCTTCCACCTAGCGTGCACGTCAACCTCCCTTGGGGCAATCTCTCGCCCCTGTCTCCTTCCATGCAGCAGTCTGCTGTCAAGCCAGAGGCTCATACATAGTACCTGGCGCTACTTTGCTGGGGGCGGTACTAATTTGGTATACGGTCAATAGGTTGTTACAGCAAACCTTGCTACACAAGCCGCTTCCGTTTTACGGCTTTGTCTTCGTCGTTCAGTCTTTCTTTCTTTCTTTCTTTCTTATTCTTCTTATTCTTCTTATTCTTATTATTCTTCTTATTCTTCTTATTCTTTTCTCCTTCTTTTCTCTTCTGCTCTCTCGCGGGCTTCCACCTAGAATGCACATCAAACTCCCTTGGGGCCACCTCTCTATGGCCGGCTGGCTTGCCGAAGGCAATTAAATAGGACATACTTGTAGGTGGCAACTTGGGACATGAACTATGTTGAACTCAACCAATTTTGTCCGTGGTTCTTGCTTGACACAGTGTGCAGGAAAACCCAGGGACGGGACAGAAAAGGAAGTTTCTTGTGCAGGATAGGAGCAACAGGTGAAAGCGCATGGAGTCAACCAAAATAAAACATGCCAGGAGAAAGCAAAACGAACTTCAGAAGCGTGCCTATGTAGACCTGGCTGTACTTCCACTTGTGGACCTTCGAGCCCTGCACGCGGGACACAGGACAAGATATCTACTCTCACTGTAACGCTGTCCAAAACATAAGAAGAATCGATAAACACTACAGTACCAGATCCCCCCTACCGACTGCAGCATCATCTCTGGCACAATGCTTCTAAAGTTTGCTGGGATTAGACAGTCAAAGTCAAATTCAGCCTTCGTGGGGTGGTGTTGTACCAGAGCAGCATCCTTCAAATCTCAAATCATGTAACTCGGCCCTTTGGCAGCGTTGGCATTGGTTCCTGTGCTAAAAAAAGGATATGTCAAGAAGATTCCTAAGCTCTTCTTGCTTGTGTTGTCCAAAACCTTCAGACCACCAGTCGCTACAAGTCAGTTCACTGCACGTCACTTTTCAATGCAAAAATGTGCCAAATATTGTTAAATCTGAATGAAATCAGAACCACTGTCATTTGGATGGTTTTCCATGGTTTCTCATGGTTTTCCATAGTCGGTGGCCTCGGCCGTGGCCCATGGCAACTCCGGCAGCTTCTCTTCCAGCTCTGTTTGCATTTTGGCAGCAGCAGTGGGGAAGGGATCCTGGCGGTGACTTGCCAACTTCATAGATTACATATGATTACATAGATTGATTCATCATGTTTCATAGCAAACTCACTAAGTCACTGAGGAAAAACGGAAATGAAAATTCTTCTGCTGGCCATTGACCATGGTATGGCCGTGGTCAATTTGGTCAATTGGTAGAGGATGTGCGGTAGGGATTGGGCGGAGCAGTCCTCCTCATCGCTCAACTTGATTCCCAGTGGCACTCCGCTGTGCACTAGCACTGCCATCAAAGGCTCATCTGTAGCACCACCGCGTCTGGCTGTGTCATGTGCCACGTATCGCACATCACCTTGGTGATCAAGCAAAACACCTGAACAAATGTGTGAAGTCCATGTTCGCAGACTTAGACATTTGATGACATTTGCATGATGGAACATTGCTTTAAAAAAATGCTAAAATGTAGCTGAAACCACCCAGTGACCTTTGTCAAAATATTTGACCGTCCAGGAAAAAGGCCACGAAACCTTGGATTTGTCAAAGAAATAGGCCACGGCAAATCGCGACGAGTACTCCACCTGCTTCAGCCCAGTCATCACCTTCTCATCGGTGTCTTTCAAGAAGCTACCCCTCAAACCGAACTTGGAGGCACCAAGGATCCTGGGAACATCGAGGCATGAAATTCAGCTGACGTATTAACCAAGAAATCCAAGGAGCATTTTTGAAGTAGGAAAAATCTAAAACTGACCAAATCAAAAGCACCAAATTCAGTGGAGAATCTGTTGCACCGGCTGTGTCAGCACCACCACACTGGGTGAGTTGGCCTCTTCAGGTAGCTCCTTAGCGCTCACCGCAATTTGAGTAGCTTCCAAGGCCAAGTCCTCGACTGCCACGCCCCAATCCACTGGGACGGAGGAGGACTGCAGGAAGTATTCTGCGATGGAACGCATGCCTTTGGGAGCGGCGAAATGGCGAATTTCCGGCCCAGCACCACCATAGGGATTGGCCCCTGCCACCTCTCCAGTGAATGGAATCAAAACACCTGCGTCTGTCAAACGTTTGTAGAGTGGTCCTAGAAAAGGATGGTCTGGAGACGACCGAGTTGTCACGTACTGAGCTCCCAAATCAGCGTGAGCCAAGATGGGCGAGGAACGTTCACCACGACGAAAAGCGTGTGTGGCCATTCGTCCTCCAGCACCTCGCGACTTCTCCAGCACACGCACGGAGAGCCCCATGTCCTTCGCAAGCAGGGCCAGCATGGAGCCGGTCACTCCGGCTCCCACGATCAGCACTTGAGGCGCCATGGCAGCTAAGCGAAATGATCGAAATGTATGAGGTCTAATTATACTCTAGTTTGAAGAAGTGGAACGTGTGAACGATCCACAACGCAACATGGCACATGGTTTTCCCACTTAGCTCAAGGCGCCTGTATTGGGATTGGGCCCATATGTTACAGATAGATACATGGTGGTTCATGGAGCTGGTGTGGAATCATGTACATCTTCACACCCATCTATCTTTACAGGTCCTGAACCACTACTGCATATGGCCCTTCGTGGCGCGGTTGTCAGATTGAACTGACCTGTACTGCACAGCTTTGTCATGGCGTCCCAAAGCATGTGCTTGGTGAGACCATCGCTGATCATGTCTTTGGTGCTGATCCACCAAAGTTGATCCGTGCAATCCGAAGGGATGGATTCCTGTACATTCGGCTCTCCACATTCTGTACCGGGAGCCCTCCATAGATCCTGTCGCAAAGCAGTGAGGTCGATTGCCAACCGTTTGTCGGCTACCACTCCTTGACCAGTTGATGACATTGTGTCCACATAGGACCTGCAGTCTGTCAGCCAGTGGATCGTGCGAGAATCGCTCGCTGCCACTTTCCAGTCCAGCTGCTCACGTAGTCCAGTCTTCTTCGGGTTGGTCATGTTGTAGAGTAGTGCTCGGACGTACTGCCCTGCTTCACTCCCTCCGATGCTGCTCATCACCTCGGCATGCAGAGTTGAGCGACACACTCGGCGAATCGTATGTGACTGCCACTCCAGGATATGCACGTTTGCTGGAGTGCTGAGTGTCGGCATCCTGTCTGCCAACAGAAGAAATCTTCCGGCCTGGGAACGATGGCCACTCTTCCTTCCATCCTCAGCTGTGTGTTCTTCGGCTCCAAAACTCGCATCCGTCACAGATAGCAGCACTGCACTGTGAAAGTCGATCTTGTTCTTGACGTAGCGCAAGCCATTGCCCGTAGTGCGCTGCGCTGCAGACAAGAACTTGTTGGTGTTCACAAGATCCTGATGTTGAGGTCGCGCTTGCTTCCCTTGAAGCGCCGAACATCTGTATGAAAGCTCTGGCCTGCAAAGTCTGGCGACGTAGCCGATGCTTCCCAAGACGGCCCTCATCTGCGATTGCTCCTCTGCACTCGCTGGGTCAGCAGGACTTCGGTCTCGGCGTCCCTCAATGTGAATCGGCTTCACCTTGCTAAGCAGCTCTGGGCAAGTGACCTCATAGTAGTCATCCTTTGACTCGATGCGCCTGCCACAGAATCGGAAGTTCTCCTCCTCGATGCTGCCAAAAGTGAAACGTTCTTGGATCTTGTCCATGACACTGTCCATGGTCTCATCTCCTGTCCAGATGATGTCGTCCACGTGTGTTGCTGCCAGTCCATGTAGTTCTCCCTGATCTCCTGTCAGTGCATAGAGTGCTGGCTCCACCTCACGTAGTCCTTGGACTTGCATCTCATCTCTCAAAGCTATCCAGAATCCTCGTGGTGCATCCTTGCTCCCATAGATTGACATCAAAGCCACAAGGTAGCTGCCAGGTTCGACTGCGTATCCTTGTCCGTCAGGACCAGGAATTCCTGTGTTGGGAACCTTCATCAGCAGCTCTCGGTTGATAGGACTTCCTTGGAGAAAGGCGGCACTGATGTCGCCTGCTCTCAAGCGTCTCCTGGTGCATGCTGCGAAGCTGATGACCAGGTGTGTTCCAGTTGCCGTGGCTGTCGGGCAGTCGACTCTGAAGTCTCCTTCTTCCAGATCTCCTCGAAGTACCAATCTGCTCTTCAACTTCGGCTCCACCTCTGGTCCTCCTTCAACTCGTAGTCGAGCATGCTTGTCCACGTCAACCCATCGCATTGGCACGGGCTTGATGCCAGCCATGAGCATCTGCTCCACCTCCTTCTTGGATGGAACTCTGGTCGCTTTGTACTTGACCCAATTGGTCCATTCCTTGCCTCTGGTGATGTCCAACTGTCGTTGCATCTCCTTGGTCTCTCTCTCATAGCGCAACTCCCCAGTGCTCTTGGGGTCTCCTCCTTTCTTGTTGTACCTCTTCGCCATGAAGCTTGTGAACTCCTTCTTCAAAGCTTCTGGCGGACTCCTTGAACGTGGTCTGTTCATGGTCCTCTCTGCTGCGCTCTCTTCCTTTGTCTCCTCTCTCTGCGTCCTCATTGATTTTGCCATCTTGGCTCCAACATCAAGTTGGTTTCCTCCTGCAATTGCCATTGCTTTTGACAGCGGTGTCAGAACTGTTGGTGGTTGTGGTAGAGATGGTGTCTGCACCGTCCTCGTCGATGAAGTTGCTTGCTCCTCCACGGGTGTCCCTGGGCTGTAGCCAGGACTGTTGGCCTCCCAGTTGGTCGGACTTGTTGGCACAGGCACTTCATGTGGTGATGTCCTTGATGCAATTGATCTTGCCTCATCCTCTTGCTTCTTCTCCTCTTCTCTGATCAATGCTCTCATCCTCTTCGGTGACTCATCTTCATCACCTCCTCGTTCTGTAGGTGCAATGTTGCCAAGTCCTCCTCTGGGTAGTGCGGCTCCTGCTGCATCCTCATCGTCCTCAACCTTCCGGAGATCCAAATAGGACGGCTGTCCAGTTGATCCCAACTGATGGTGTTGTGCTGGATCCTCGTAGAGTAGTCCTCTGCCTCTCTTCTTGCCCTTGGTCACGCCAATGAGCTCCTTGGTGAGATATTCCTCTGAAGTTGCTGCCCTCACCATGGTCTCTGAAGTGAGAATTGGAACTCCTCCATGCATGATCCAGACATTCTTGCCCTCCTGTGTCAGAACTCGTCCAGGTCCATACCACTTGACGGCTCCTTGCTTTCTCCTCATGAAAGCAACCAGATCTCCTTGTCGGAATTGTTGAGCTTCTCCGCCACCTTTCCTCAGCAATGCCTTCTGAACTCTCCTCCTGCTGTCTTCTTCTGCCCAGGCAATCCTTGCAGCCTCTCTCATCACGTTCCTCCTGTTGAACGTGGATTGCGGATCCTCATCGTGAACCACGACTGTCTCTTCGTCCTCATCTGTCCATCCTCCAGCTCGTGGATTCCGGCCAAGTACCCATTGGCTCGGAGAGAATCCTCCAATGTTTGCCTGACGGTTCTTGGTCTCCAGGCACTGCATGAGCACAAGCTGCATCTCTGATTGTCCTGTAGCCTGCGTGGCCATGACGACCTTGTTGATCATGAGCTTCAGGATACCTCCATGTCTCTCTGTCCTCCCGATCTGGAATGGGGCTTGTGTCGCTGCAGACCTCACCTCAACTCCAAGCTTCTGAAGCTCTGAGAAGAAAACTCCTCGGTTGTGAGTGCCTCGGTCCACAGTGATGGATTTCGGTGTTCCTGCCCAGCTCATCCAAAATCGAGTGAAAAGGTCCAAGCATAGGCGGCTGCTTGGAACTCCAGCTGCGATGCCAAGCACTTCTCCAGCTTGGAATGTTGTGCCATGACATACAGCATGTAGAACTTGGTATCGGTTTCCCTCTGCATCTTTGACCTCAAAGACGTCCAATCCAACATCCTCGGCAAAGGTGTAGGGATTTGGAGCTTTCACAACTGCGGGATGATGGCCTTCTGAAAGCCTCTCGCAAGCTGAACACTTGAAGTACTTCACTGCTGACACCACATTGGCTGGTGCATTGGAGTACCTCAGCATCCTTTGCATTTGTGGTCGTGCTGCATGACTTGTCATGACATGCAACCTTCTGATGCCAATCCTCTCCTTTCTGCTCAGCTTGGTCCACATCCTCCTTCCTCCTTCTGATCTTCTCGGCCTCTGGCTCCTCAAGTCGTTCTTGATCTTCCAACGCCTCCTCTCTTGCCAGATCGACCTCTGCCTCCTTGGCTGTCGGCTTTGCTGAAGGTAGATCCTCTTCTCCATAGATCTCATCCAGCGCATGTGGCTCCTCTTCCATTGCCTCTTGCATAGCCTCTCCTGCGAATGCTGTTGAGACTGCATTCTCCAAGTCGATCTGAACTCCTCGGATGATCCTTCTACACATCCTCGAAGTCCACTTTGCTGCTTGCCTCGTTCTCGCTCCTCTCGAATTGTTGCCCTCCAGCGGTTCATGCTCATGATCTCCGCTGCAGGTCATTCCTCTCATCATGGTCTTGATGCCTGGTGAGTCTGTCCCAATGCCTGTGGGTTTCTTGTGCAACAGCTTGGAGTCATAGTCCCGAAGTCCAAAGGCGCATGCATCTACCCTCAAGACCTCGAACTGCTCCTCCTCACTTCGTCCATATTGATGCGAAGATAGTGACATGATCTCCTGAGTGTTCCAAGCCTCTGACGGCCATGGGTTCTCGACCATCGTCACTCCTCCTTTCTGCTGTTGCTTCCTCACCATCTTCTTGATCCATCCTAGGATCGGCAACCATTTCTTCCGCTTCTCCTGAACGATCTCCTGATCTTTTGCCATCCTCTGCCATGGTGACCAGGGTCCACAAGGCCATGCCACAGTGAGAAGGTACGGGTTCTCACGATCCAGCATGTCCTCTGCCCATCTTCGATGCTTCGGGTCGAAGACATTCCACCCGTTGTTCATGTCCAGCGGTGTGCAGGTTTCATAGCCAGCTGCTTGAAACATCCTTGTCAACAAGGCACATCCGCAGAACAACTCGAAGACAATCTTCCAGCGCATGGGCAAGAAAGCTTTTCTCCTGGTCAGGACAGACCAAAGCGCCATGTCTTTCTCCTCCAAGTTCTCAACCTCCTGTTCCAGCTGCTTCCGCTGGCCCTTGGTCATGGTGCGCTTGGTGTCCTTGGGGTCCATGACATAGTCGGCCAACTCCGTCTCCAAGGGCTTGAGTCGGAACGTAGTGGTTCCAATCCATGGGCTCTCGTCCTCAAAGTCCTCGAAGACGTGGAATCTCGTCCTGATGTAGGTGACTCCATTGGGTAGTAGTCTTTCTTCTCGTCCCTCCTGCATGAGGTCATATTCAGTCTCGTCGGCGATCTCTTCTCCATTCTCCATGTTGTAGGTGATCCTCCGGACAACGTGGAGTCCAGGAGGTGCCTTCTCAAAGGTTGTTGCCTCCGATCGCTCCTTGACGTACTGTCCTGGAAGTCGATCCTTCCAGTTGTCATTCACGGTCTCCGTGTTCCCATCCTCGAAGAGCTTGTAGGTCACTCTTCGTCCAGCAAGCCTCATCAAGTCGACGGGCAAATCCATTCGACTTCCTGTTGGGTAGAACGGCATAGTCCGTGGCTGCACATGGTGTCGGATGATCTCATTGTCTTGGATGTCCCACCAGTCAGTCTCCTCATCTTCTGGTCGGAAAACATCCTTCTCCTTCGGAGATAGTTCTCCTTCTGGCTGACCTTCTTCCTCTGGCTCATCCAAGATCTGCTCCTCCAGTGGTGCGTCATCTGTTTCATCTCGATCCCATGTCTCATTCTGTGTCGTCCCAGCGGGTTGTGATGCCTCCTCTTCTTCGACCTCAACCCAAACGTCATCATCCTCCTTGTCGGTGTTCTCCTCAGAGGGTCTTGCTGAAGATGATGCCGCTCGAGTTGGAACAACTCGCACCTCAGATGTGTAGCGTTGTCCATCCGGTGCAATTCTGGTCAGCATCTCGCTGGGTGCTGCTCTGGCCTTGGGCACTCCTCTCTGATCTCCCTCATCCGAAGTCCTCCATGGTGGCTTCTTGTCAGAGCCCTCACTCGACTCAGCCATCAGTGCAACGGTTTCAACCGGTGCCACATTCATCTCCGCGAACTCGGCTGGGGTGATCTTGAGGCCCAAAAGGCGATTCCTTTTGCCTCGAACTGCCTTGAAGGTCATGTTCAACAACTTGCTGTAGATGGTCGAATCTTCGAAGTCAACGACCAATCCAAGAGCCTCTTGTGAAGGAAGGCTCAAAAGCATTGGTGCTTTCGATCCCTCGATTTCCATGCTGGTGACCTCTCCTGGAACTCCTTCTCCATTGTTGTTCTCCAGCATGACGTAGAGAAGTCTTTCTCCCAGCGTCCTCGATCGTCCTCCGATGCCGTTGAGCTCGGTTGTCTGTCGATGTAGCCATTGTGGATGATGTTTCGTCATATTGCTGAACCTCTTCATCCACAGCTCCCCATGACAGGTCTGGTTGCAACCTGAGTCAAGGAACATGTAGGTCGCTTCCTCGTCCTCTGTGTTGACCCACATTGCCACATCGTCATTCTCATCAATCTCCTCGACATCGACGACCATGTAGGCTGTTGGTGTTCTCGGTGGATTCGACTCTTCTTCTGCTCTCCTCAGTTGGATGTACTCCTGCCATCTTCTCATGCCCTTGCAGTAGCCTTCGCCCTTCTGCATCTCGTCCAACGTCCAGTTCACATAGGAAGGTTCGTTGTCGTAGACCGATCTGAAGCTTCGTCCCTTGTACTTGCCGAAGTCAAACAGTCGATCACCTTCATCTCTGTTCTCACTTCTGGCCGTTGAAATGGATGCTCCTCCAGGTGTTCCCACGTAACCTTGTCCTGAAGGTAGAAGTGGTACAGCTCGATGAAGTTGTGCTGCACAACAAAGCGAAACAGCGTTGACAATCTGCATGAACTCCTGCTTGGTGATGGAGTTGTGGGCATTGATGTGAAGTCGAACCATGCGATCCAAAAGCTCTCGGCATGTCGTCCACTCATCCTCAGATGTGAACAACACTGCATCCTGCACTGTCGACATAGAGGTCCTCAGTGGCGTCGTTGGTGGAGACGACATAGGTGTAGTTGCCTTCGGTAGTGTCCTGGTGGTAGATCTCATGGTGGATGATGGAACTCCTGCTGCAGGAATCGGCCTCTCATCTCCTGGATTCCTCTTGACCTTGTCGCTGCATCCACAGTCCGGGCATGTCCAAACCCATTGGTACCCGTTGGATCCTTTCCAAGACACATCATGGTGTTGACACACCTGCGGATCAATCTGCCTCATGCTGATGTCCTTGGTCACTGGTGACTTCTTCTCCTTGTGCATCACCAGTCCACAGTCCTTGCAGGTCAGCATGTCTATGTAGGCATTCGATCCTCTTCTTGTCGTGTTCTCATGTGGGCAACCGCTGTCTCCTCTAGGCGTCTCTGGAATTGGCACTTCGCCAGCTGAGAATCCCATAGTCTCCTCAGTCGATCCTCTCGCCTGATGCACGTAGAAGCCAGGCGACTTGGGGTGATGCATCTGCATCATCAGATCAGGAACCAGACTTCCTGAAGGTGGTCGTGCTGCTGCCTTGCTCTGTGGTGGCATGTAGTGTAGCTCCTGTTGGAACTCCTGCTCCAACCTCTCTGATGGCAAGGTCATCAGCCTTCGCACCTCGTCCTCAAGTCTTCTCTGATCTACATCATCCAATCCTGGGTTCCCTGGACCGGAAGGCTCATAGCGATGAACCATCCCCGCAAAGGGTTCTTCCTGGTGGCTGTCTCTCACTGAGAAGTAGACAACCCTGGGCTTGCTTGGTGATCCCGATGTCGATCTCGTTGAGCTCGGCGATGATTTGCCATCATGCTTCCCCTTGCTCTGAACCTTGCCCTTGTCCTTGTTCTTGCCTTTGCCTTTGAATCCTCCTTTTCTCTTCGGGCAGATCCAGTCTCGTTGCCAGTGTCCCTGCTGTCCACAAGCTCTGCACCTCGTCCTCTGCTTCGCAGCCAAAACCTTGGCCTGCCTCTCCTGTGGTGTCTGGTTGTTGTTGGACTGGTACAGGCTGTTACTCGCAGGAACTGAGTAGCCTCGATGAGCTGCCTGTTGCCTCGAGTAGAACGCAGCTGTCTCGTGCTCCACACTGTCGTAGATCAGCTCCAAGTCCTCAGCTGAGCACGTCTGTGCATGAATACCTTGGTCTGCGTACCATGCCACGATGTCCTCTTCCAGCTGTGTCCCCTCAGGTCCTTCTGGCATCTCATCATAGTTCTCGTCGTAGATCTCCTCATCATACTCGGCATTCTCAGGGGTCTCGTCGGTCACAACAGGGTTCTCATCCTCAGCCATGTAGGACTCCGCCATGTAGGAACTTCGTTGTCCCCAGCCCCATCGGCCTTTGTGATCTCCTTTGCCTTTCCTCTTCTCCCTGTCATGTACCGCTCCGAATTGATCTCTCAGCGTTGCCGCCAACTTCTTGAGGTCGCTGAGATCATTGCTCATCACCGATCTCACCAGTTGCTGCTCCATGGACGTGAGTCCACTCTGTGTCAGCATCTGCTCTCCTAAGATCGCTTGGCTGCACTTGACCTCCTTGTCAAGCTCGGTCAACTGGTTCCACCAAGCTTCCCTTCTCAGCACATATGATGCCATCGGCTCGGCGTTCTGTCGGCTCAGCAAGCCAGGCATAGATCCGGCTTGATAGAGCTCCACTGCGGCTTGTCGGCGTAGTGGTAGTAGGTCTGTCTCCAGGGCATTCATCAGCTTGGTGACTCCATCAGGCTTAGCCAACTCCTCGATCCCCAAGGTCTTTGCGATCTGCAAAGCCGGCCCTTGGAGCCTCTCTGTCAGCCTCAAAGCCAGTCCTCCAAGCTTCTTCCTCTCAGCTTCACTCATCTGTGACTCCTTCATCTCGATGGCCTGCACCTGGAACTTATAGTTGGCCCACTCCTCTACTTGTCCTCCATAGCCCGGCAGACTCCTCGCCTCAGGCACCACCGTCGTAGGTCTGAAGTTTCCATACTTCAGGTTGTCCAGCGCCATAGGTGTAGGGGCTTTCCAGTCTTTCACCTTGGCAACCAGCGTGTAGTCGAAGTTTTGCAGGGAGGTTGCAAACGCTCCCGCTACCAGTTTGAAGAAGTGGAACGTGTGAACGATCCACAACGCAACATGGCACATGGTTTTCCCACTTAGCTCAAGGCGCCTGTATTGGGATTGGGCCCATATGTTACAGATAGATACATGGTGGTTCATGGAGCTGGTGTGGAATCATGTACATCTTCACATCTAGTTATTCTTTCTTTTAGCACCTATTCTTTTGATATCATGTGCAAGCTCAGTTGGTAAGGGGGTTGGTGATATTTCATGGCATTTCTTCTTTTCGGTTCAAGTTGCAGACTATATATGATCCCAATTTTTCGTCTATTCCTAACAGGTCCGGTGATTGGTTCAATAAGAATCTGACTGACTGGATCTAGGTTTGCGTTGCTGTACTTGCTCCAGTTGGTTTGGCACCATGAGTTCTGCCTTCAGTACCTGATACAAGCAGCTGCCAAGGTTGCAGTATGCCTCTCCAATTACTCAGCCACACAAACAAGAATCCAGTGCATTTCTAGAACAGGCAAAAAAATCGACCATCTGAGGTGCTATGGCAACTTGTCCCAAAACTTGTCCCAAAACTTGTCCCAAAATGCCCCAAGAATTTGTGATGACTCCAAGTACCTCAATGGACTTCAACCGTTCCAAGAGCTCGCCCCGATACCTGACGACATCTGAAGAAATGATCCAACCAACTCACATCGATGGAGGGTGGCGAAGGCGTCCCCCGAAGACGGAAATGCTGAAAGATGCTGAAAGGATTTCAAGAAGCCTGTTGGAATTGTTGGATGCTTCATATAGATTCAGAAGTTATCAGAAGTTATCATAAGATTCATATAGATTCATAGGTGAGTGGTGGATCCCGGGAACATGCTAATTGCGTAGGAATGGCCACATCCCAGTTGCACCGAGGCGGACACTGAGCCGGCTGAATGAATTCTGGATGTGCCTGCAACGGTCTGGCTCAACTGGCCCATGTTGCGAGCTTTAATTCCTCTTGGGATAGAACTCAACAACGCAACGCAATTTCACTTGTAAGATGTCATCTGTTCAAACACTTCTAGGTCATTGGTGAGATCACTCATTTGGATAGCTTCCCACTCCTAAGATATCATCCGCTTTGTATCGCTTTGTCACATGTTTGCTTTGAACAGAATTAAAAAGAAAAAACATTGAAGATAATAATTCAAGTATGTGTCCATATCAATCTCGTTGGGATGCAAAATGTTTGCCGCGATAGGACTCCTTAAGTTCTCAGCCCATTTCGTCCATGTCAGTGTTGCCTCAATGTGCTGGATGACCTTCTGCTGGTATTTGCTGAGGCTGAAGAAGAAGCTGGGCTCAGACCTGGCGCAGCTCTGATGGCTGGGAACAATGGACCTGTTGGACCCTCTAACAGCGGCCCGCTGACCACACGCTGTCCACACGCTGTCCACTATTTCAATCTCCCATGACTCCCATGTGCGTTTCGGCTTCGCACACTGTGGGATTTGTCATTCAAGTTCCCCACCACTGAGTTTCCGAGCATCTTCTTCAGCGGGACACCGGAGGTAGGGTCCTGTGCTCAGACGGCTCCACAGTGTAAGTGCAGGCCACAACTGGCGGCCACAACCGAACCTGGGAAGGGCCTGTCATCTTGCACAAGAAAATCCAGTTGTGACGCGACAATTCGTGATAATTCCGCAGTTCCACTTCAACAGTGAAAACACCAAACCGTGGCGAATCGGCAACCATTGCAGCATTTCTGTTTTCTGTAGTCACTGTAGTGCTTAACATTGCCTTTACGATTCCAGCTACTCGCCAACTGCCAACCTCTGTGTAGGCAGTCCTTGTAATCCCACTCTTGTGCCTCTTGCTCAGTAATGAAACGCTCCTCGCGTACCATGTACCTGCAGCTTTCGTGAGTTCAGCACATAGTGATCACAGAGGGTCAACTCAACCTCAAACTCCCTTGCAGGTCCTAAATTGCTGCCTGGAACGCCGTAGTTGCCTATTTTTTCAGGCTACTTTGAGCCAGTAGCCTATTCCTCTGGAACTTTCCCATTCTTATGGATAAAATAGCATACTTTGAGGTTTTGGGAAGGTGTCTGCATTTTGAAGTTTGCAGAGCACACTCGCACCAGTGCCCTCAGCCTCGCTCAATCTGCAGGTTCCTTTTAGAAGCTTCTGGCTGCATTTTGTTCGTGACACATTGCTAGCAGCGGAGCACATGAGAGCTTGGCATATCTCCTCAACCAGTTTCCAAGTTTTTGATGGGACGCAAATGATATGGAAAGGTTGAACATCAAACAGGTTAACAAATTTCAAAGAAAACCGCCCATGGATTTGATCGCCATGGCTCTCACTTCCATCTTGGGAGTCAGAAGGGGCCAAGGAGCTTGAATGTCACATTCATATGATTTCTTGTGGATTTAGAGGCAACATCATGCAGCGGCTTGATCGGTTTCTGAATCTTAAATGACGCACTATTCAATGCAGGATTCCGGATGAATGTTTGAATCCCTCGGCAATGAGAGCTGCTGAATCTCAGCAGCAAATGGTTTCAAGTTATATGACTGAAATCTTCACATGAATTGGTGCCATCCTTGACCCCTGTGCCCCGCCGAGGAAACCTCGAGATCACTGGATGAGCCTTCCTGGCCTGCTTTGCTCACTTTCTTGGGTCCTGCACAAAGCTACATGTGCAGCAACGAATCAGCTTCAAATCAGAATTTTCTGGTCCCGTCACTAGTGAGATTTTATAGCTGACATCTCGTGGCATGTTCATCTCAAGCACTTTTAATGAGAGGGTTTTTCTAGAGGGGTGCCACCATGACCGATTCTGATGCTGAGATCCCTGCTGATTTTGCGAACCAGTTGGAACAGTGTACAGTAGTCCGTGGTCGCTTTAGAAAGCAGATTGGCTGGCTGCAGTGGCCGGTATCTGCTGAAAATGTTTTGGGTGATGAGGAAAATGGGGAAGTTGAACAGCACCCCGTTTGCACCAAGAGTTTGGAAATGAATGTAGATGCTGTGCGGGCGATGGTGGAACACTATCATGGAGACTTTGTGGATATCAGCACCCTGTCCGCTGAGGCCCTTGGAACACATGTTGCATGTCTAAAAAATGTTTGATTACAACTGACCATGATGGTGTGACATACAACATGTCTGACCCTTTGATGGAAGCTTTTGGTAGGTGAAAAAAATGTTCCTCTTGGTCAAGTATGATTGCAAGAACCTCAAGCTTGAGTCCTACCAAGATGCTTGGGACCTACGCCGGTTATACACTTTTGCATGGAAACGCCAGCGAGACTGTCGTAAGAGAGGTCAGCGGCCCCGGGACCTGGGTTACAAAAATTGTTCTTGATGCCCTATAAAGTTATAAATGTATATACCTGTATCCTGTATACATATAATATGTTATAAGTATAGGTTTTAGTATGTTAATGTATGTTATATATTCTAGCGTTGTTGGGGTTCCCATTTGCAGGACCCGCGCGTGAGAGACCTGTTTCAGTTGATCCAACAGACTCGAGATGATTGGGCTTTCGCGGATGGTGATGCAGAGAGCCCCTGTCCCATCAATCTTAAGGGGGAGGTCCATGGTGATTCAGACTACTATGAAGATGATGAACAGGAAAAACGTGTCAAAGAAGATCCACCCAAACCCAAACACAAGATGGAGAGGAAAAATGCCAACGCATCCCTCGAAAGGAGCCGCTCTGACTTGTCCGAGGCAACTCTGAGCCCACCCAATGCTCTCTTGAAAGGTATGGGCTTCAATGTGCACATGACTCCAGAGCAAGAAGCCGAGTTGCATGAGATTCTCATGGCTATCAATCAGCTGGATCCAGACCCAGACAATAAGTCTTATCCTGAGAGATCAATGTGTTTTATAAAAATCACATATGCTTCAATCTTAGTAGGTCAACATTTTTGATGATCACACTCAGGGATGATGTGGCCCCGAAGGCATCGAAACGCCCCCGCCACTTATCAGCAATGTATGTTACTGTATGGCCCAAGAATTTCAAGAGCCCTCATGCGCCCACGAGCCGTCCTTCAGGTGCTGCTTGTCCTGCCTTGCCACCAGCTGAAGATCCTTCCAAGGCAAAAGTTGCAATCTTTTGCAGCAATGTAGCCATGGTAGAACATATATATATATATATACGATACATATATATATATATGTCATATATATATATTATACATATAATATGCATATATATATATATAAGCATTTTGACATCCATACTGAAGATCCTTTCATATTTGATTTCACAAATGCATGCATTGCAGTTGGACACGCAACCGCTGGAGAGCCCGCCCAGCCCTTTGGAGACCGAACGTCCAGAGACCACAGCTTTGACTGAGACCGATGCAGCCAATCAGGCTCATTTTTTCATTCTTTGTTGCGCATTGGCATAGTGTGCTTTTCTTGCTCGATCTCTAACATGTGAACTTGATGTTCATTACTTTGTTTGACCCTCAGGTGGAACGGCCGAAGGTGACCCCCACGATGCAGCATGCAAAAAGGAGCAGCAAACGTGCCACTATGAGGAAAGGTCGTAAGGCAAAGAAAGGTGGTAAGGCAAAGAAAGGTGGCAAGGCAAAGAAAGGTGAGGCAAAGACTGGCAAAGAAAAGAATGGCAAACATGCAAAGAAATCAAAGAATGCAGATGCCATGGCTGACAAACCAACAGAAGGCCGACGCCGCAGCAGCAAGTCGGGAAAATCCAAAGAAACCAAGACAAAGAGCAAGACTGAGAGAAAGCCAAAGGATGCAAAAGACCCGACCAATAGGAAAACACCTACAAAGACTGTCGAACCCAGTGGCCACAGCAAGGTCTATCAGGACCGCATTGACTTGGGCGAGGGGAAGTGGCGGTATGAGGTTCTCGAAAACCAAGTCTTCGGATGCAGCAATTGCCGTTTCATTTTCAATGGGTGCAAGGTGTGCCGCAACCCGAATTTCAGGGGCCGTTCAGCAGGTGATGTGAGGCTTGAGCAAGGGCACTCATTTAATGAGTCCACTGCGGAGGACCTTCCTGTTCCAAATGATGTCCCACCCTTCCTTTCCAAAACAAAACGCAAGAAGACGGACAAGAAGACCACGGACAACAGTCCAGCATCGAAGTCGAAAAAGTGAACGCTTTGGTGAACACATCCAGGTATCTCAAATTAATTCAGTTGGAATGTCATGGTGATTTCATTCATGGTCTTTGTCCAAATCAACATCTCCAAAATGATACCCTTGCATGCATTCCAAGAAATACACGCCCACACACCCACACCCCACACACATGACCAGCCTCCAAGGTATGGTTCATCATGATGCGCTTCAACAACTTTCGGCTTTTTTGGCCTCCGCTGATGGCATCTGAGTGAGACATCCCCAGGTGATGTCGTTTTGGCAGGGGAACCCTTGCCCAATATGTGGGGTGTTGGCAGCTGAGTGTGCCACATACGGGATTGCGCCCATATGATCCAGTTAACTTTGGTGGTCATGCCGGTCGATTTTCATAAGACCGATGTATATTTTGATCATTCAATGATTCAATGTATATTCATAACATTATATACCTATTATACAAATATATCAAGCTGTCGACTTTCAAAAGTCCTGGATGTGCGCTAGCCTCGCTGCCCTTATGAGAAACTGCTGTGAGTTGAGCGAACACGTGAATCACGTGGCCTGAGGGAAACAGGCAACATACATTAGCTGACGTGAACCATTCAGGTGACAAAAGAGCACATTATGCAGTTTGACAATTAAGACTTGGAATTCCCAGATTGCTGTTTGTTGGTTCATGTTGTCCCCTGATATTTTGCCCGGCTGCCACCGTGATGCCAGGTTTGAACCCTTTAAAGGCCAAGCGCCGGCAGCGCCGGCGCCTTCCAACAAGTACGCCCTGCTCTGTGCATTGCAATGCCCATGAGACCGATTTTTCACTTTTCAATTTTCCATTTCGAACCTTCTCCAATGTATTTTACTGCTACATGGTTTCCTTCTGATGGTTGTTCACCGCAGCCCCTTTTCCAAAGTGCATTGATTGGCACATTGATTGATCACAAAATGATGGGTTTAGCAATTTTTTCTTTCGAACTATAATACAAGATCTGTTGGGCCCTATAGCTCTGATGGCGGCGATGGATCGTGCCTCTGTCATGCGCTTGATAAGATGCCTTCTTCAGTGGAATGTCCCAGAAGAAGCTTGCCTGACATGGTGACCAACATGATAGCAACACAGCAACACAGTCATATATAATGGGCTGCTAAAACATGCTAAAACACCCGTGATTCTCTAAGGTTCTTATTCTCGCTGTGATCCTTGTAGCCTTCACTGATGGGGCCGTTTCCGGCCAGGCAGGGTCGAAATTGGTATCAAAATGGACGCACTTTTTTGAAAAAAAACATGCCCCTCTTTTTTAATAAATGGCACCTCATTTTGAAATATCCCCGTAAGCATTTCTCACTCTCTCCAGCGATACATTACTTTTCATCAATATACCCTCTGCCATTGTTCAGGACTATGATGCCATCGAGGTGTATGCTGGAGTTGGCACTTTGAGTCGTCAGTTGAGGGCGGCCGGGTTTAGTACCTGCACCCTGGATATAGTGGATTGGAACCCTTGGATTCAAGAACGCATTCTTCGATCTAGGAAACGTACTTGTAAGGGGAACCCTTTGGACCTGACTACTGCAGCGGGATTTGCGTTTCTTAGTGTGCAGTTACTCAAGTTTTCTGTGTTCATGGAAGTGTGGTATCCAGGGTCCTGTGCAGTTCTTTGGATCTGTCATGCTACCATTTCATCCCCTAAGGTTACTGCTGGCAGCGATTTTGAGAGGTGGGCCTGACCTTGTGGTATCCATTGCCCTGATATGCTCCACATTTGTATCAATCTCACGTGGATCTACAATGCGAGATTATTTCCTTCCACTTGGTGATGAAACTGCACCATCTGTGGTGATTTCAAATTTGCTTGCTTCCAGGACCCTGTTTGTTGAAACCTCCCATTATTGCGCTGTCAGAAATGCCATATGGAGATGTCTCAAACTTCAGAGTGATATTTTTGAACCAAACAAGGCACCTCATCATATGGAGATACATGGAATGTGATATATACAGACCAAAAAAGCCGAGTAATGCCATTACTCGGCTTTTTTGGCAGCCCATCAGAAAGTTGACGCTTGCATCAGTGACACCATTTCGAATCTGAATTCAACACCCAAAGATTCCCTTGGTCATTGAAAACCTTGCCTTGGTAATGTGCCCATGCTTGCCAGGACGGCCTTGGCAGTGCTCTTGATCATTGCCCGAGGAGGAACGTTTGTATTAGAGCAGCCGCATTCCAGCTTGGTTTTTCGGCACCCTAGGTTCCAACAAATATTGCGGTACACAAGGGCACCCTGGTTGCTGTAAGTTCAGAAACCATTTTTATCACGTGCTTGAATTCCTTGAGTTATGTTCCAAACATCCCTTGGATTGAGGTATACAAGCAGAGCTTCTGGATGCGTGGCTGGGGAGGGAAATCACCAAAGAGAACAACCTTGTGGAGCAACAGTACAGGGATTCGATACTTTGCAACCTCGAGCAAGTATAGTCGGATGAAATCCCGTACGTCCAAATCCAAGCTCGCAGATGTATATTATGATAAAGCTGGGAAAAAGCGCTACAAAGGCAATCGCCGCCTCAAAAAGTCCCAGTGCGAAACTTACAGTCCATTGTTCCATCAAAATGACTTTGAATTATTCAGCTATGTTCACGATGGACCATACACTCATGGATTTTCTGCCATAATCCTGGACCCCCATGCTAAGGGAATACCCGAGTGGATATGGAAGGCAATTTGCCGCTTCAATGAAAAGCCTCATCAAAGAAAAAGGATCTCCTCGCTACCCATCTCCGGTGCCTTTGTGGGTTGTTTTATAGTTGTTTTTTTTCGTGGCTGGCCATTCACAGAAAGAACGACCCCAAATATTATAGCAAAATCTTTGGTATATTATTGTAATTTTCCTGTTGGCTTGCCACCCCAAGAAAAGGCCCCCACAAGTCTACCCCCAATAGCATTTTTCCTAGGGTTTTGTTTGCTGTGTTTGTGGGTTGTGGGGGCCTTTTTTGGGGGTGCCAATCCAACAGGAAAATTGCTAGTATATAACTTGTGGGGGGTCAGACTTGTGGGGTGTTGCCCATGCATGTTCATTATTCCTGCACGTGCTCGAGGTTCCCGACCTTGACTTTCTGAAGCCGGCGGATTTGCCCCCAACGACTGCCATCCAGGACCTGTGGCATGATGCCAAAATGGTTGAGGTGCTGCAGTATTTGTACGGCAACCAGAACTTATCTCTTCCTGATGACTTTAAGAGCCTTTTTCCACCTGAGCTATGGGCGTGGGCCTAGATGCCCTGACAGCACAGAAATTCACCATTTTGAGTGGTATAATGGCCAAGATCCTGGTGATATGTTGCAATTACGAATCTTATAGCTATCGGTACACCAATTTACCTCTTCGGGAAACCTCCATGAATTTTCCGACTGTTTCCGATTACATTTCAGTTTACGATGGGTATTCCAGTTTACGATTATAGGATATATTCTAATCTACGATTATGGATATTCCAGTCTACGATTATGGGTTTAGGACACCAGTCTACGTTTATGGGTGAATGTATGGCCCCAACCTGCGATTATGGGTGAATCTGAAAAACACCCTGAAAGCAGTCACAGTGACTGGAACATGGGAAAGTGCCGTAAACTTCCATCAAAGAGCCGTAAATTTCCATAGGAATCTTATGGATGAAATAGGCTACTTTCCAGGATTTTGCATGGCCATGAAAAACAGTGATTTGGGGGACAATTCGTGGATCTGTCTACGATTGTTCAACTGCTGTATGCATGGCATGCTTTTTGGAGGCCAATTACAGCTGCACTGAGGAAAACTGCTGCGCCATGATTGATTTGAAATCACACATGCAGAGCATAGCAAAATTTCCAATGCGTATTTTATGTGCATATTTGCCAACGATTTTTATATCAAAAGGATTCGATATCTTCTTGCGGGGTCAGCCATGTCTTGCAGCAAGCCGGAGCAAGTTCACAAGTTTGCTTCACGGCAGTGGTCATCGGGATCACTGATGCGTGGCCTTTCCTTTCTGAATGACCAGTCCAAGAAAGAACAGGTGGAATATGGTGATATTCTGTCAGTCCCTTGGCTGCTTCTTTTTGCTTATACATATAGATACATATAGTCATATAGTATTACAATACATGATAGCCCAAACCTGCCCCTGGCAACCCAGGTTGCCAAAAGTCGCCTTGCAACGCTGCAAGCACAGAATGGGCAAGTTCCATCGACGCCTGAAGCTCGGGTGCGGGCTGTGACTTCACCACAGGCGCCACAGAGTGTTAAGTCAAGCCCTGCTCAGCCAACTACATCTCAGAAATGCCCCAGTCAAGCTGCAGAGGACTGGGGCACTTTGGATCAAATGAGAACGGAATTGCAGAGCCAAAGAAACCTATAAAATATATATATATATATCAAACTGATGGATCTCAGAAATAAACCCTTATATATATATATTATCATAATATGCAATGAAAGATAACTTTCGAATTGCATATGCTCATCAATCTTGTGGTTGATCATGTTGCTCCGCCTTCCCAAAGCACCCATGGTTTTCTCTCACTCAATGTGCCTCGTGGCAGGACAACAGCGAAAAAGGTGAGATGAGCGAAGATGACCTGAGTGAGGAGGCGGGGTCATGAGGCTTCCAAATGCTTCCTGTACATGTTGTGAATGAAACCTTTGATGAAAAAATAAGATAGAATTGAATTGCGCCCTAGATTAGATTTCATTGGTACCACATACACTCTACCAGGAGGATGCTGATGCGTCCCAGCAGCAGAAGAAGGCTTGGCTAATTCAACGGTCATTATTTTTCTATGTTTTGAGGGGTGCTTTTTCAATGCACTTGCCACCATGAAATCATACCGTCACTTGGCAGGCCACTGAGGAGTACAAAAAGCTGGCCGCCCTCAATGCCAAGCTTGCCAGGATTTGCAAACCGAAAGCACATTCAGGACGACTGGAAGTGAGCCAGGAGATTCACAAACAGTGGATGGCTGGAGGTGAACAGCGAAAGAGTCTTTTGAACATTCTTATCAAAGCAAATGGCGATAAGGCAGGTTTGTTTTCAAATTCAATCCTTTTCAGTCCATGCTTTGACAATGAGTGCTTGAGTATATATGATATAACATATATATATGTATATATGCACATGTATATGTATATATGGGCATTTCTCAAAATGTGGGATGCTCGAAAGTGTTCGAAATTCAGCCCTTTAGAGGTGTTTTCGAGCATCCCCCATTTTGAGAAATAACCATATATAACAGTCTTTCCCCAAACACATGGATTATACACCCTCTTGGTCGCATCAGCCTTTTGATAGGCGGTCTTCAAGAAGGAAATCGAGCACATGCAGAGGCGATCCCGAAAGAACACACTCAAGGTGGAGAAGGGGTTTTTCACAAAAGAAAAGATGAAAAAGGACTTGGGGTGGAGCACGATACTTGTTAGAATTCATTCAGCATTTCTCAAGGTCTTCCTCCTTCTCTCACCTTACTTTTCCTTTCTCCCACAAACCTTTGGCTGAGGAATCGAATCAAGGCAGTTTGCAGATACTGCACTGCGAAATCCCGGGTCAAAACACATGTGAGGCAAGGGATGTTGCAGTTGCTGCTGTTGTTATTGTTATTGTGTTATTGATCAACTTGGAACAGCAACATGCAGCTAAGTTCCTATGGCAGTGGCAATCAGTCATTTTACATGTGTTTCCCTGTCATAGGCGCGACAAGTATGAGCGAAACATCAGGGAATTCTGGGTCGATGTGGCCACAACTGGGGCATTCGAGCGAGAGAATGAAGAAACGTTGTGTGACAAGACCGGAGCTGAGGGAACTGCTGTCTCCTTTGACCTTGGGCTCCCTGCTGAGCAGCCTCAGGTTGATGACAGAGGCCCACCCTCCGATCCTGACGATTCAGATGCTGAGGTTGGCTCAGGCAACGAAGATGACAGCGATCGCTCAACCAGAACCAAAGTGCCCCGTCCGGGTGACGTGCAAGAGGAGTCTGTCTTTGAGGCCCATCCCAACCAAACAGCATGGATGTTGTGCTTCAATCAACGCAAATGTATCACTGATGGAACCCCTTCAGCATCAACATCAATCATCAGGCCCACGAGAACATCCCAGAGGTTGTCAACAACTTGCTGCGTGTGCAGGGCCGGATGGATACACTTTATGAGAAGGTTTCAGCGGTGAGCAGTAATGAAGCCCAGGAGTAGCTTGACTCACCAGCAATCTGAACTTATTATACTCAACACCCGGTCCAAACATTTTCGATCAACATTCATGAGCTCACAAGTTCGTTATAGTTATCTGGCCCTGAATTAAGGAGCCTGAAGAAGGTAGACAAGTACCGCTCAACCCTCGGAAACCTACATGATGAGCTGGCTGATTTGAAGTCTTACTTTGATGGACACATCAAAGCATGCAGTGAAGATGAGAAGTTTGACAAAGCGAATCTAATCAGCATGTTGAGATCACAATCTTCATAAATATAATGTCAACCCGGATTCATAAACCATGGTTTATTAATTGGGGGGATACTCCTCCAATAGTCATAATCTAATACTTAAAAGGTACCTTCCCAATGAAACAGCCTAGGGGTTTATTAATCCAGGGTTGACATTAAATAAACAATTATATATATATATTTACGTATTACTATGCATAATATATATATATATACATGTCCCCCACGGCCCCAGTTCTCAAAGTCATCTTGCCTCAACCCAGGAAGGTTGAAGCATTCCACAAAGTCCTGCGCAAGATCGAAACGGAGTACTTGCCCCAGAGCATGTGGCTGACACAGCAATGATGAACAAAAATCAATGAATGACTGACGTTCTTGATCAGGACATCTCGTGCTTTGATGGAGGATACAAAGCTCAAAAAGTCTGCTGCTCATTGTGTTGGAAAGATGTTTTCTCTCGTTGAGCGAATGTCCAGCTCTGGAATGTCAATCTTAAAAAACTTTCTTTGCTCTTCCCTCAGGACCCTGTTGAAGTCAAAGGCAGCCAGCCAGACCTCTTCAAAGCCAAAGGCCAAGGCCAAAGCGAAGTGTAAGGCTGCTCCTCGCAAGCGACCCAGGGGTCAGGAGGAACAGGAGGATGATTGTGAAGAACCAGCTCGAAAGCCCCGCAGAAAGTCCAGAAAGAACAAGTGATTTCAGGAAAGGGTTTGACCAATTGAAGTTTGAATTGCACAATTCAAACTTTTGTGCGAACTATTGTATGGGATTCTTGTCAGGATGCTGGGGACGATTCCTGTACGATGCATCTCTCAAGTAGAGATCTCAGCTTTTCTGCCACGTTTCCATTCTAGCAAGTCATGTCTTTAAATATATACATTTATATATATATATATACATGAGATTGATGTACCAAGGCCCGACGATTGATGCAGTTCACTTCAGACTTTGGCTGGGGAAGCGTGTGATTCTATACGCTTGTTGTCGTTCCAGCAGGGCTGTCCCAAGCATGGAATTACCATTCACATTCCATCTTTTTCAAACATACAGCTTTGATCGAACCCTGATGAATGAAAGTTCGGGGATCCCTGCAGATAAGAACCGCTTTTGCTGAATCAGCACAATCCTCTTTCTTGAGTTGGCAGCCTGCCTACTGCGAAGCTTTAGATCAATTTCGGGGAAAACTGGAGCGTGAGTCATGGAAACCTCCCAACATTACATGCCATCTCATAACAATTAAAACAGCGGCCTGCCAGTCCCGACCCATGCGCAGGTGCCAGTCCTCCAAGTCGAAGAGAGCCTGGTAAGGCAGCAGGTCCTGCAGCCCGCGCTGTGAGCCAGGCAATTGCTAGGGGAGAATTTTGGCAAAATTAGGGGAGCAGTTTGTTTTCTCCATAGCTTCTTATATCCCCTATTACCCTACAATATGAAATGTAATGGGGTTGCACACTATGACGACCAAATAAATTTCATCTCGTCAGTGATGTTCCTTCTGTGGGTTTGTATTCATTAAAATGCAATTTTTGGTGATGGTTGAGATAAGATAAATCTTATAATCTCGCTGGATCTCGCTGGACTCTTCAAAATCCAAGGTTTCTGAGAAGGAAGCTTGCAATTTGGTGCGTGCTTTTTGGGAAGAGTTTCAACCCTGTCTAAGACATGATGCCTCTCTTGCCAGCCGAGATTTTTGTAAGCTTGCCACGCGGTTGGCCACTACAGGACATGAAAACAGATTGTCCAGTCACCTTGCAAGTTTTGACCTATCCACTGACATCCCCGTGACTTATTTGGATGTTGGGCTTGCTCACCCCCACCCAACTTTGGCAGTGGCTGACTTTGTGAAAGCATTGGATGTTCACAAAAAGATTGACGCTTTGCTGTTTGGCAACAGGGTGCCACAGTATGAAGACTTCTGGCGGCAATGGAAACAGATCCAGCCAAATCACCCCATATACGAGCTACATCGTGAGAATTTGGGATATTGCATCCCTGTTGCCATCCATGCTGATGAAGGCACTTCAGTTAAAAAAAAGCCTTAATGGTTCTGGCGGTGCAGCCGCTGTTGGGTCGTGGAAGTCGCAAACGGAAAGCTGACGCCTGGACTCCTGGATTGAATTTCCTTGGAAACAGTCTGGTAACCAGATTCTTGTTTTCAGTGATGCTAGCAAAGTTATACTCTGGGAAGAAATCCAAAAATGGCCCTCTCTTGGCCTTGGTGAAGCACCTTTGCAAACAACTACGGTCATTGTTCTTACATGGATGTACCGTCAAAATCGATGGTTCAGCACAACACGTATTCCTGGTTCCATTAGCCCTGAAAGGGGACTGGCCAGCATTGGCAAAATTAGGACGGCTTGTGAGACACCACGGACGATTGACCTACAACACGGAAAAGGGGAAAGGTATATGCCACCTCTGTCAGGGAGGCATGGAGGGTCATGCTGAATGGTTTGACACTTCGTACAACACCATGTTGGCAATGCGCGCGGAGTCCCCAGCTCCATGGAACGTGGAACCTGACCTGACTCGGCTGATCCCTATGGACCCTTCCTGCAAAGCGAACTTCCTGAAAATAGACGTGTTCCACACATGCCACAAAGGGTTCTTGGCAGACCTTGCAGCAAATATCATCGTACCTTGTCTTTGGAAATATTGACGAAAAGTCCCGTAAAATTTTGGTTCCGTTTTTGTTTTTCTATCGATGGCCTGTAGTGGCCTAGCGATGCAGCAGGTGTGCTTCTATGATTACAGCGTTTTTGGGTATCTCTCCTTCGAAGAACATTGCGTTGTTGTCTATGATGCTTTGAAGAGCTTTTGTGGACAAAATTCCTTGCAACTGCATTTGGTGAACTTGACTCGTCAACTGCTTGGCTTTGGCAAATCAAGCGAATATCCTGTAGGGTACTTGGATGTAATTATTACCTTCTGTTTTTGGTGGTGGCTGATTTTTGTTTTGCCCACTCCCCGTAAGATTGGGTTTTGCTTGGCGCAGGCTTTGCATCATTTTGCCGAGGAATTGGTTCAAGGGTGCTGACACAGTATCCATTCTCCTGTTTTTGGAACATACACTTCAAGACAAACTTGACACCTTTACGGATGAAGACACCAAGAAGTTGTTCGAGTTGTGTCTCGTGGCTACATCATCAGCCAACAAATTCATGAAGACTTTGTACAATGCTGGATTTTGGCTCTCATTTTCCGAACGACAGGACCTTATTTCTCATGGCCACAGACTGCTCAATGCTTTCAATTCTTGCGCAGACCTGTGCTATTGGGCAGACCTAACGCGGTTCAAACTGCAACCTAAACAGCACATGTTTGGGGAGCTGATGTTTGAAATTGAATTTCACCATCGACATAAGTGGCCGACTCCCAACCCACTAGCCTACAGCACACAAATGGATGAAGACTTCGTGGGGAGAATTTGCGTATTTTCACGAAAAGTTTCAATTCGCTCAATTCATTCTAGAACTTTGAGTCGATATCAAATTGCCTTAAGGGCATTGCTGTAATATCTTTGTTTTCTCTGGCAACCTGGCCCCAGCGAGCCAGCAGTCCTCACCAGCTCCATGCTGAAGTGCAAGTCCCGGATCGAAAAGCGGTGGTCCGAAAAGAGCTCTATCATACTTGGGATGGAATGGGTGTTGCATGGATTGATTTAAAATCAAAATAGTGGATTCCACATGGGGCTTTACATGTCCTCACATGTCACAACATGATTCTATCCACATGGAGCCCAAAGCTAACTCAAACAGCTGGCATGTCAAAACAACTGAAATTTGCAGTGACCATGATTTCGGGCGCTTCAGCCCAGTGCCCAAAAATTTGAGCACTTGGTTTTCTAGGTGGGTACAATTCACGCAGAAGAAGGCTACAGTAGAAAGAACTGCAACAAAGGCGGCTGAGATTTGCCATGAATCTCACGTTCACCAGTCACAAACTCTTTCAAGCGTTACAACCGAGCGCACCAGCCCTCATAGCGATCCAAATAGATATCGCCATTCCCCTTGCATTTGTCCCACATAGCTCGCGCGACCACCTACCAGATGCGTGCACGTTTTGTTCAAGTCAAAAGTCAAATGTTTGCGGGTGTCAGGCACTCGCAGTGGAGTGGCGAACAGAATTGATCGTACAACTTTCCTCGAACATACCACGGTTGTTGTGCGTGTCCTGGGAACTATGACGATTCTTTACTTTCCCACACTGCCCTCAGGTATGAGTCTTGCACCCAGCCTTGTGTCGCTCTTCTGTAGTGCGAACATAGAAATCGTTCGACACCTCAGCCATTGGGTCGCTTCAGTGCAAGAGGATCAAGAGGTCTGCTCTGCTGAAGATGCTGAAGCTCTGTACCTTAAAAATATGGTTGCCTAAGTTCCAGTTGTTTGATGCCACAAATCTCGAATCTCAAATCATCTCAAATACAAGGCCATGCCATGTTGTATAGTTCCCTTCATCGCACCGGGGCCACAAACGTTCAAACGTTGGTTGAGCGCTCGAAAGCCAAGACCTCACAGCTATGGCAATAACCTACATATGGTCAAGCATGTTTTGTGCACAGAGAAAGACCTCTGTAGCAGGTGGCCAGGGTAAGCTTAGAGTCAGCCACTCAAACATGCTTTTAAAATGGATTTGTGAACAAGCTGCAGTGGGCTGTGTAAGATGCAGTGAGACACAGCAAGCCAGGCAAGCAAGCTAGCACGGAAGCTTTGTAAGCCATCAAGCATGTCTCAAGCAGAGGCAAAACGCAGCTCATCAGGCTCCCAGAGGATCAAGCGGCGCTGAGGGGAGAACAGTAGCGGTCACAAATCTGGATTGGCTGCAGGCCCTCATTCTCAGCGACTTGAGCAATCTTTTGCCTCATCCAGAGATCTGCTCAAACAAGATGTGTCAAATGTGTCACTGCAGTTCATAGCATAGATAGCATAGGAGGGAGATTCCCAGGCACTCAACTCGCATTCAACTTGTGCAATGGAATGCTTATCTGAGTGTGGCCCTGCCGAAGAACCGTAAACGTGGTGGAACATGGTGCAAGCTGAGATCAAGACCCATGTTCATCTGCACCGGTCATGAAGAAAACATCCTGCCCGAGCATGCGATGATACCTGGCATAGGGTCGGTTCGTCTCAGATTCTGTCATCCAATATGACCCGCAAAAAAAGTGCAAGTGAGGATTACACGTCGCCAGTCTCACAAAGAAAAGCTGAGTCTACCCTTTCCGAAATCAAAATAAGAATCAAAATTGTACCAGTTGAGCTCTAGCTTTCCGTTGGAGGTTTAGTCAAATCCAACCGGTCTTTTTAACAGAATGTCGCATGTTCAAAACGTCGTTTCTCGACTGGCCACATGCCATGACTACCTATATTTATATAGTGTATAGTGTATAGGGAAATCGACTCTTGTGGTGATCCATACATGCCAAATAGCCATCCTCTTCACCAGGCGACACTTCGGCAGCCCTTGTCGACACCTTGCAAAAACATCGGAGGTGAGTGCCTCGTACGCATGGCCTGCGAGGACCAGCTGGCATTTTTTGGCTCAGAATGGCTTGGCATGGGTTCGCTCTACAAGGGACCGATGGAATCTCAGCACTTCCACGCCTATGTGAGGCCAGCCATTGCAGTAGTTGATAGCAGTCGTAATGTAGTACCTGCGAGAAAAACTTGTTGTCTTTGTATGCAAACTGCCAACGAAAATACCTCTGTGACAACTCTGGTTCAAAGCAACAAGGCTCACTTGCTGGAGCTGCTGGCACTAGGGAAGCAGTTCCCACCTCGCGATTTCAGACTCCCAATTTGGAAGGGAAGCTGACGTGAAACGCTGGAAGCCCGCCTGCTCCTTTTTTGATAGAGTCGTCACCCTCAACTTGTCTCCTGTCCGAGACCATTTCCACCTGTGCGAGTGAGCACATTGATTGACTTTTGGCCAGTGACAATTGGAAAGCTAGTGACCGCAAAGCTCATCTTGATATTGGATGATCTTGGCACCTGAAGGCATTTAGTATCCCACATTGTCAGCCATCATGTCCATCATGTATTGTGTGCTTCTCCATTCACAGATCGAGGCTTAAGCTGTGCCCAAGTGACCCCAAGGCCTTGCAGTCAAAGGGCAACGCCTGCTTATCCTTTCCCGGTGCCCGCGGACCCTGGCTGAGTCTGAGTCCGCTGAGTCCGCTGAGTCCATGGCAAAGTGGAGTTTTGGCCACACAAAATGGACTGGAGATACTGGAGCCATCTGGAGCCATCTGGAGCCATCTGGAGCCATCTGGAGCCAAAAGAAAATGTGTTGTTTTTGTGTTTTTTTTCCTTTTTGTATTTTTTGTCCTGGCATCCTAACCAACTCAAAGCTTTGCAAATCCATTTATGTTTATCTCTTCATGAACATTGGTTTCGGGTGATCTAATTTTTTGGGACATGACATCGCCAAAGATCAACGCATCAATGCTGGCCATTTGACACTACACTTTTCGAATTGGGGGCATTCTATCACTGGACCCGCATCCAAATCCCTGCCTTCTTTGCTTCTTGGGCACCATCGCCATTGACCTCATGAGGAGGGAGCTGTCAAGAGTAACATGAGACTCTGAGAAGTTGTGCATAGAGTCATAGAGGCAACTGTATGAATCGTATGAACACTATATGAACACTATGTATAGAGGCAAAAGGTCCTGCCTGTGTCTGTCCCGGCCACACCTCAGTGGCATCGACACTTGGAAATTGCCGCTTGGACACAGAATAACGGTTTCCGCAAATTTGGAACAAGGACAGAAGTCAGATTCCTGGTCGGATCTTACAATTGCTAGAACCAAGGCACATGATAGGGCGCATAAGTGGACTTCAAGCCGGCGATGTGGTTGTACCTCAGCAAGGTCCCGGAAAATACCCTTGCTGGGGAATCACCACAAGATACCACAAGATACTATGATTTGCCAATGACAAACATCATGGCAGAAATCCGAGCGACTAAATCATGACCGCCTTTTATTTGTTGCCCTTACACCAGGATCTACCAAGAGAGGAGGAACCAGTAATCATCTAAGAATCTAAGCCTAAGAGTTCATGATTCTGGCCCTGTTCGAAGTTCCCGGATGCGTAGGCTGGCAGAGGCAATTTTTAGACAAAATCACAGATTCTCTCGATTTGGCCATCCATCCTTGCGCTTAGACTTGAGGTCCGGGCCATCTGTGCAAGTGCGGAAACTGCAAGGATCGAAACATGTCCATGATGTCCAGGACAAAACATCACCAAACGCCAGATTTGGACATCTGCTGTTCAGGCCGCTCTACTGCGCATCCAGGCCTGTTGTCTATTGGGTCGAGCATGCACTGCTGCAAAGCAAGTCATATCCTCGCAATGTCAAGAGGCATGTCAAAGTCGAAACGCAGGAAAGATATCTCTGGAAACCTAGCGGAATCACCTCGGAGCACTTTGCGTGAAGATGTTTGCAGCGCGTCAAATCTGCGCCCCACCAGGAGTCAGCAACAAGTGCCGAGATTTTTTTGTAAATCACTAGAGTACAGCATGAGAATAAATGGTCTACGTAATTACTGGTCTCCATAGAACAAAACATGTCATCCAAGGTTGCAATTGTTTCTGAAAGTAGAACACAGTTGGTTTCCTCCACTCCATTTGTGACTCCAAAAAAAACGACCTTCAATCAAAAGCAACATGTCCTCTGCAGTAGCATGGAACGTACCACCCACATAGGACCTGTGAGTTCCCAAGCGATAACCCATTTTATCGGGTTATATCGGGATGGCTGCTGATTGATCGCCTGTGATATATCCATTGTCTCATGCTTCAGATCCAAAAATCCGTCTCTGGTCGGAGGTCTCACTCCACAAAATATTTGTTGGCATCATCATCCCAAACAGGCGTGATAATAATCTGCAAAAAATAATGAAAGCACCATTATAATCATAATCATTCAGAATATCCCTAAAATATCAGCTAATTTTTCCAGACCCGGCCGAGTGACCGATCTGCCAGCAGCGCATTTAACTCTTCGAGGCCACGCTCCGTTCGGAGGCTGCCCAGGACAGCCTGCAGCGGCCATTGCAGAAAATCATCTTTGACTTGGATAAACTTGGAGGATGTGGGAATCCAACAGTGGGGGTAGCTTGCAAATGAACGCATTTGTATCGAAATGGTTCTTGGTTTTGTGCTTTTCTCGGCCGTTGTTGTAGTGGATTGCACATGAGCATTGTAACAAATGTTGAAGTGGGGCTTTGGGACGTGAGCGTATGTTAGACCCAACATGACCTCACCATCAATAAAGTGGATGTGGACAACTCTTGAAGAAACAGCCAAACAAACAGATCTGAAAGTAGAGACAGCGGTTCACCCAAACAGCCCCATCAGTCCCCTTCTTGACGTCAACAAAAGTTCCAGAAGTGAACTTCCAGTCCGTTCAGGTGAAACAAAATACACTGGCGTGAGGATTTGCTGACGAAGCCAATGCCAGCAAGAAAGATGGGCACTGCACGGGTGAAAAGCGATTGAAAAAGCATTGAAAACCAAGATCAAAACACAACAACCAACGTACCACAATAACATGCAAATACTTACAAGAAACCTCCTTTTGCTGCTTTTTGGTGGCAAATCAAGCAATTCAGAGGATGTGCCACTCTCGCACGGCTTCAGGCCTTTGGTGGCATTGCAGCCGCAGCGGCTAGAGCCTCACCGGTTCAAACTCTGAAACACGGAAATCCTGCAGAGGAGACGCAGCGGCTGAGCCATGGGGTAGACCATCGCTGAACCCTGGCCTAGCTGCCGCTCGCCACCTGCTGCCTCTGAGCAAGCCAAGCCTCACATCTGCGGTGTGAAATCAAGTTCGGACAGTTCGAAGAACAACTGGTCGATTTTGAAAATGCTGCCAGTTGTTGCCCAAAATGTTGCTAAAGCATGCTAAAGCTCGAAATCTGATTTCAGTTTGTAAGATCCAGGCTGAGGAGTGTAAAATCCACTTCAGTCATTAGAAATGATACTGTATCTTCCCCATTTTCTAACAGACCCTGTCTTACGATTCTGTTTTTGCATCCTGGGTGATGCTAAGTTTTCCTCTAACCATCCACGAACGTCAATGTCCCGATTGTGACAGAACATTGCAAAATTTCATTCCTAGCTTGGCCCTGGGAGACTTACTCACTGGGGGCACCGGCTGAACGACCAAGAAGCAAGCAAAGCCGCGTGGAGAGCCAAAGGTCCACAAAAACACATGCTTCAAGTGCATCAGTCAGTGTGAAAAGTGAGCAGAGAGTCGCCAGGAACGGACTATATTTGAGATAAACAGGTGGGTGGATTCGTTTCAAGAAAAGATCAAGAAAATGTCAATGGGTACAATGGAGTAAGCTGAAACTCTGGCCGTTGCAAATTGCTAGCAGTCAACCAATGCCCCTGTTTCTGCACGGCTCTTTGTCCGTTTGGTTCCGCTCCTTCAGCCAGCGCTGCCTGGCGATACATCTGCTCAGGATAAGTGCAAGTGCAGTATCCAGCTCAAAGGAGTCGAGTCCTCAACATCCGAATAAAATAGACAGGCACTGCAGGCACCAGGGTCATGCCTTCGGACGGTTTCGCTTCCTGCAGAGATGCGGTGCCATACCCAAACCCTGGGCTGGTCCATCCTACAATCGACGCATTCAGAAACTTTCTTGGACCACACTTTCAGGAAACCAGCACAGCATATCAAATTGCTTGAGCTCGAAGTGAAAAGAAATAAAGCCTTCGCTGGCAATCTACAATACAACAACACATGTGTGTGCTATTTGCATGTCATTCGATGTTGTTGACGCAGTCGATTGACTATGAGGTGATTAATGGAAGAAATACCAATCTATTATGTTCCCTGAATCCAGGAAATGACAACTAAACAGGGTCACCCCATCTCTCCTTCGCTGTCTCCTTCTCTCAGCTGCATCATCCTGTGCGACCTGTGCACGTGCATTGTCCATTCCAAGGCACTTGGATAGGTTTTGTCTCCGCGAAAATAGGTGCAGGATGAAACTGTGCTTTTGAGTTGTCGTGGTTTCATGTTTATGTTGGGGATCCATCATGATCCATCATAATCCATCTTGCATCTTGCCTGCGATGCGGAGGCTTGCGCAAGGAGCTCGCTCAGCACGTCTCCTGCTTGACACGCAAATAGGGCCACATCGAGGAAAAGGGAAAGAGAGGTCAAATCTATAGCATTTTAAGCTGGCGACTGATTGTCGTCAAATTCTTGTAAATGGCCATGGGTAAGCCATGGGCATCATACTCTCAACAGTGCATCTGCATAAAAATACAATAAAATACAGGCGTAGCTGCTCGGAGATGCATACCTTTTTCGGCCAGGTGCCAGGGCAGGATTGCTGGGTGGTCAGCATCATAAACGACTTTTTGGCCCTTTCACTTCAGAGTCCACGTAGTTTTCGTGTTGCTGGAAACCTCAAATCGTTTTCAAGAGATGGGATTATCTGCAGTTGCACAAGAGCTTCCTAACTCAGGGTCTTTACAAGTTAAGGTCAGCACGAGGGGCACGCCGCTCGATCGATGCCTGTGCATGGATTGGGGCTGCGATTTCTATTGATTTTCCAAAAGCAATTTGTTGGGAAAGAATGTTGAATCCAAATCCCAATACTGTAATCCCAATAATCTTGAGCAAAAAGCCACGAATACGGTACGCAAACGAAGCATTTTCTGCTTTGTTATGATGGCATGGCCCCCATGCTTGGCCCCCCGGCCTTCAGGCCCTCATGCATGTCATGGGTGCCGTAGCAGTGCGCTTGCGCCTCAAGGACAGCTTTTGCACACGTCAAAGGACCAAATGAACCACTGACAGGAACAAAATGTGGTGTTCGATCAAAATCATTTCAAGATCATTCAAACATACAATTTTGGATGTTGGATCATTTTGAAACTTACTGGATTTGCTTTGGCTCAGGGGACACGTTCTTCCCATGTTTAAAAAAATCCAAGTCGCGTCTGCTTCCCGCCACAGTGCCGCTTCCAAACCTGCTGAGTTACATAGGCTTCCACGCCCAAGGAGACAAGTTTCATCAAATTGTGATTGAAGAGAAATCCGGGGAATTCTTTGGAAAATGAAAAGATGTGATAAATGTGTATTCTGTATATCTCCAGTCACCGTCCAAGTTGGGATGCACCACCGAGCCTTTCTAAAATGCATGTCCCAAAAAACAATCGGTGGGGAATCTGCAGCAATAATATATGTCGTATATGATGTACATATGTCACATGTGTATATAATGTGTGTGTATGTGTCATTGTGTGTCTATACAATCTTATACCACTCATATTCGATAGATGTCTGATGATGTCTGATATCTCCAACATATTGAGCATCTCATCCCGTTCTGCCCGTTCTGCGCCTTCTTCCTGCTTCCTCCGCAAGGAGCGCACCAAGGTCCGCACCGCCACCGGCGACTGCGCGGCGATCCGCTCGGCCAGCGCCAGGGCATCGGCCTGCGCTGCCGGACCATCGGCCGCCAACTGCGAGACGAGGCGAAGTTCTTTGGCCTCCGATCCAACCGGATCCAACCAGAGATGGAACAGATGGAACTGGATCTTGTGCAACTTGGAACATGGAAAGACATGGAAAGACCCTTTTTCAGCTTTCATTTTGACCGATCAAAGCTGACAAAGATAGGTCCCTGACGCAAACACTGGAACAAAAAGGAATGGGTATGAGTTTGGTCATCTATATTTCTAACATGGAATGGAGATGTAGGGAAGAAAGGGACTCCAATCATAGCCTGTGTTCAGATTCAAAAAGCGCCGAGCCATACCACGTAAAGAAAGGACACATCAATTTAAGACTCAGCAGACTCAGCACATCAATTTACCCGTTACCAAAACGAAGACACCAAATCACCTCCTCGCCGGTGATCATGTCGCCAGTCAGAAGCAGACGGTATGCTGTCTCGTATCCAGCTACAGTGGCAATCATGTGTGTGGCACCCATACCAGGATGGAGGCCCAAAGAAACAAAGGGGAAACCCATCTTGGCACTCCTGGAAGCTACGCGAATGTCACAAGCCATGGCAAGGCACATTCCGGCCCCCACCGCTGGGCCGTTGATAGCAGCCACCACCGGCAAGGGCAGGGATCGAACAGCCAGGAATCGATGGTAGAAGTCATGCATGATCTGGGAATTGCGTGAGGCGGTGTCTTTGCACCGCTGTTTCAGCCAAGCCTGATCTCCTCCAGCAGAAAAAGCTTTTCCTGCTCCTGTGATTACCACTGCACCATAGTCAGAAGCATTCAGGTGAATGCTC